TTCACGAAGGCGTTCCTTTCGCACGTCCCGCGTCACTTTTGATGTCACATAGTTAGATATCCGACACGCCTGCCACGCGCACGTCGCTCAAATGCACCCATGTCTGGCCTATGGCACGCACACCCGCCCACGCGCAAATACCGATTTGTTAGCAACTGCAGTTGGATTCAGCACACCCAAACAAAAGCCTCCATCAGGTCCGGGATGACTAGCTTCACCAATCCGGACTCCCAGCAGCGAACAGAAGGAAACACAAACGCCAGGACGGACCAAAAACCGATCGCGTCTTCTTCTCAAATGCTCTCGAAATAGTGCGCGTCGCTCAAATGCACCCATGCCTGGCACAGCATGTCACAAACAGTTCATTGATCAATGACCCGTGCATTTGCCGCGGTCTTCTTCCTCCACCTGGTCTTCTTCCTCTACGCGGTCTTCTTCCTCTACGCGGTCTTCTTCGTCTACGCGCTCGTCGTCTGCTTATACGTGGTCTTCTTCCTCTACGTGGTCTTCTTCCTCTACGCGCTCGTCGTCTTCCTCTACGTGGTCTTCTTGTACGTGGTCTTCGTCTTCCTCTACGTTGTCTTCTTCGTCTACGCGCTGGTCTTCTTGTACGTGGTCTTCTTCTTCTGCGTGGTCTTCTTCGTCTAAGGTCTTCTTCCTCTACATGCTCTGCGCGTGCCTTGGCGTCCTCTTTGTGCTCGTGTGCCTTGGCGCTGATTGTTTGTTGTTTGTTGTTTCTTGTTCGTTGTTGCTTCTTGTTTGTGTTGTTCGTTGCGTCTTGTTGTTGTCGGTTCTTTACGTTTCTCCTTGCTTGTGCTGTTTGGTGTTTCTTGTTTGTTGTCGGTTCTTTATGTTTCTCCTTGTTTGTGTTGGTTGTTGCTTATTGTTTGTGTTGTGTATTCTTTGCGTTGTTTGTTGTTTCTTGTTTGTTGTGGGTTCTTGGTCTTTCTTGCTTGTGGCAGTTTCTTGGTGGGTTGTGTTGTTGTTGCCCTTTCATGGCGATGAAACGGAAATGTCGTTTTGGACCCTTGAAAACCAAGCGTTTCGCTGAGGCGAAAACGCGACGGAAGAAGCATTTATGAGCGCTGCCATCGTTTTCACACACTTGAAAACAAAGGTTTGGACATCGAAAAAGCAAACAAAAACGCTGGGTTTTTGCATGACCAGACTTAAATCGTCGAATTTCAGCGGACAACCCTTGTGGGGGGCGGCTGGACAACCGACGGCCTTGTTAAAGTTGTTGTTGTTGTTGGTATTGTTGTTGTTATGATTGTCGAAATCGTTGTTATGTTGTAATTGTTGTTATTGTTGTTGTTGCTGCTGCTGTTGTTCTTGTTGTTGCTGTTGCTGTTGTTGTTGCTGTTGCTGTTGTTGTTGTTCTTGATATTGTTCTTGTTCTCGTTCTTGTTCTAGTTCTTGTTTTTCTTGTTGTTGTTGTTTTTGTTGTCGTTGTCGGTGTTGTTGTTGTTGTTGTTGTTGTTGCTGTTGTTGTTGTTGTTGTTGTTGTTGTTGTTGTTGTTGTTGTTGTTGTTGTTCTTTTGTTGTTGTTCTTTTGTTGTTGTTGTTGTTGTTGTTGTTGTTGTTGTTGTTGTTGTTGTTGTTGTTGTTGTTGTTGTTGGTGTTGTTGGCGTTGTTGTTGGCGGCCTTGTTGTTGTTGTTGTTGGTGTTGTTGTTGTTGTTGTTGTTGTTGTTGTTGTTGTTGTTGTTGTTGTTGTTGTTGTTGTTGTTGTTGTTGTTGTTGGTGTTGTTGTTGTTGTTGTTGTTGTTGTTGTTGTTGTTGTTGTTGTTGTTGTTGTTGTTGTTGTTGTTGTTGTTGTTGTTGTTGTTGTTGTTGTTGTTGTTGTTGTTGTTGTTGTTGTTGTTGTTGTTGTTGTTGTTGTTGTTGTTGTTGTTGTTGTTGTTGTTGTTGTTGTTGTTGTTGTTGTTGTTGTTGTTGTTGTTGTTGTTGTTGTTGTTGTTGGTTGTTGTTGTTGTTGTTGTTGTTGTTGTTGTTGTTGTTGTTGTTGTTGTTGTTGTTGTTGTTGTTGTTGTTGTTGTTGTTGTTGTTGTTGTCTTTGTTACTGTTGTTATTGTTGTTTTTGTTGTTCTTGCGGTTCTTGTGGTTCTTGCTGTTCTTGTTGTTCTCCTTGTTCGTGCTGTTCGTGTTGTTATTGTTGTTACAGGCACCCGGCTGTTGGGCCGCCCCCAGCAGGTGCGTCACTTTTGCTGTCACACTCTTAGCAATCTCCCACGCCTGCCACGCCGGCCACAAATTGCAGTTCCGGATTTGGTCCACGAAGGCGTTCCTTTCGCACGTCCCGCGTCACTTTTGATGTCACATAGTTAGATAATATCCGACACGCCTGCCACGCGCACGTCGCTCAAGCGCACACATGCCTGGCACATGGTAAGCACACCCGCCCACGCGCACGTCGCTCAAATGCACCCATGTCTGGCCAATGGCACGCACACCCGCCCACGCGCAAATACCGATTTGTCAGCAACTGCAGTTGGATTCAGC